TGGTGATGGAATAGTTATGTGATTTAAATAGAAGATCTTTCTAAGCTGCAACAAATGTTAAGGCGCTTTTTTTCTCATTAAAGCTTGATCATATATAAATAAGGTGAGATTACCTTGCTAATTAACTGTGATTTTAAAAGATGTTACAAAGCTCTCCGACATGAATACTGCGCAAATTCAAACCAAACTGAAAATTTTGTATGTTTTTAAAAACTACTTCTTTCCATGCCATACGCGTCGCTGTACAAAACAAAACTTATTTTTATTCACGTTTTTTTTGATAGTAAAGTTATCGCAATTTCGATCAGCATGCAAACGTAATCGCGAATATAATGTCTTGGCGTACAGTGATTGCAATGTTTCTATCACTTCTAACGAAATCAGTCAGAAATTATGAATACAATGGTACTGCAACTTCCGAGGATTGAGACTATTCTGAATTAACCAGCTCCATGTTTTGCTGACTTAGGTCAAATGACGATTATGAGTGAGCTGAAACCTAAAATGACGAAGGTTTTTTCTACGTTCTTAATAAATTTAGAATTTTAGTCGACATATCCGTCTTTACGCGATGTACAAGTACTTGATTATGATAGTGAAAGTTTTCAACTGGTAAAGCCTGTGAATTGTTCTAATAACTGAGTAAAGATTTTCTCATAGTTGTAGTTTTTACATTTCTCATCTTTTCTGTCACTCATTATTCATTACACATGGAAGCTAAAATTGCGATAACAGCGGTCTTCCGATACACAACGTGCGAATATAAGAAGTGAAATTGTTTTGACTTAAATACGATTATATAATCTAACTAGAGTCATGTTACAAGCCACTTAATTTATGAGCACTCATTCTAATTCATCGCAGCCGATCAACTTTATGTACAATCAAGAATACAAGTATGATCTTTTGAACGTTATTTAAAGGTTATTGAATAGTATATTCTGCCTGTCTCAAATAAATTCTCTTAGACTATCAGTATTTCAAAGGTTAAAACAAAGTAAATTTTTTAACAATCTAGCGTTTATATAAATGAAATAGATTACATTTTCACCCTTACTATTTGTAAATGAATTTCTACAGTGGCCGTTCCAATGGGTTCCAATAGGGGCACTCCTGTACGATTCTCCCAGTTCCGGGTCCCAACCAATTCAAAAAGGACAAAAATTCTAGGAGAAAGCGTCTTTATTAATTAAAAAATGGAAATACAAGCATTACCTGGAAATAGTGCCTCTTCCAGGGTACAATTACTCCGCAGAGTATCAGACACAGTGACAGATAAGTGACGCTAAGTCCAGCGGCCACTGCATCAATCAAAATATGGCAGTAGCCATATTAAAGATCAAATTTAAACAACATATGTACAGTTCAGAAGCAAACACAAAAACTTCAATATAAGTACAAAATATAGAAAGAATAACAATATACAATGATAAAATCTCAAATTGGAATCAAATAAAATACCAAAAATGTCAACAGAAAAAGTCCGTCATGTCATAACAAAAATATGTAAACATGGAGGGATTTTCCAAAACACAAAACATTCAAAAAGGTTTCAACACTAATATGTAAATAATAATATGATCTACCAGACTGTTGCATAAAAAAAGCTTTTCATAAGCTTCGTCTATCACAAACTACCAACTTATTTTTAGTAGTAATTATTTCGCTTCCAGATGTTTCCATCGAAAAAAAAACAGTCGCAATTAAGAAACACCATTTTTGACTACGAAATTAGAATCAATATCACCGTAACTATATTTGTTATATTTTAGCGAATTGTAGCTGCGACACAGAATATATTTATATCCGGTTGTCTTACAAAATACTCCTAATAAAGCACTCAGAAGTATATTTTATAGTGAAAATTGCAACGAATACATTTAGATATGATTGTATGTGCAATAAAACAAATATAAATAGTGAAGATAAACAAAGATTTGAAGATCTTGTTTCTAACGGCCAGGAAAGACAATGCAAGAAATAAAATGTAACAGGTTATCGAATAACAATTTAGTTGATTGTCGAATGAATATACGCATCATTAAAAATGAGCGAACTCCCATCTTTTAGTCATTCAAAGATGGATTATGTAATATATAGACTGTCTGCAAAACTACTGAAATATACTCTTGCAAAAACACTTTTTTTTGAAAACTCAGTTTCTGAAAGAGTTTAACTTTTCAAGTGTGCATCATGGACACTGAATGAAAGGTATAGTTCTCTATCATATTATTTCTCACTTCAAAAATATTATCAATACATGACCTACATATCTTCAAAAACGTTTTGCAGGGTACACTATTCATGGATATACTTAGTCTTATTATTAATAAATTTGTATACAGTTCGGATTTTGCTGATAAAAGCATCATATGATGATTTTTAACTAAGTTGAAGACATTCAATTCATCATATTTCCCTATTCCTGATAGATCATTATGCATCTGTAAGTTGAATGCTTGCTCAGAAGATAAAGAAAGAATTTCCGTTTGTGTATTGACAATATGCTATGATGAATATAAAAAATGAATCTCACCATGTTGTCGAACGCTAACATAGATTGTTTAGCCGCACGTTGACTTAGACAAATAAAATGAAAGATCAAATTAGAGAGAAATTAAATCATGTTATTTAGAAAAAATAAACTGAACATCAGTATACAGCAATACAGTTATAAGTGTAAAGGTGTTGAAAGATGAGTGTACACAGATAAGGGAATATTCAGTTGCATAAAATACATCGTCTTAAACTCCAAAATGAAGTGCGCGTATCAATCCAGTTAAGTTGATGAAGTCTCTGAATGATCGAGCAAATCTTTTTTTCTGAGACGTAGTAGACAAACAGATGTTGTGCCAAGCATAAGAACGAGCTTATAAGCATCAACCGATAAACGCCGTATATAATGGAGGATGTCAAGCAAAAACTGCGAGAAAGAAGCAAAGCAGCATATCACACGCTGACAATTAAAAGAAAAATAATTATATTATTCAAGGTCTTCTGTTAACAATGAGCGGTAACAAAAGCTTACAGGCATACAGTTAAGAAAGATAATCCTTAGAATTCAAAAGCAATAATAACGAAAAACGACTAATTTGATTTTGTTTAATTCAGTCATATGTAAGATAGTCAACACGTTGCATGAACTGTGTAACACACGATGGCATCTCTGTACTATCAGTGCATTTGACGGGACGTACAGCAACTGAGTGAAATTAACTGGGGCGACGATGTAAAGATATTGATTTTGTTATTGCTTGTAAGAACCTGCATACAAAGTGATCAAGACTTGCGACTTAGGTCGCTATCACGTCAATTCTGTACAGGATAAATACACATACGCAATCACACATTCTTTTGAAGGTATGTGCCTTTTAATAAAATGCTTACAGCCAATGCAGTCTCATTGGAGCTTAGTACATAAAAATTTGCAAACTACATTGAACCTTGAATTCTATCATTGTGCAGCGCCTAATTATTCTTATTGTATCACATACTGAGTATGTGAGAATTTTGGCACATTTTGTACATAGGAAGATTAGGACGATGTTTCTTTCGTGTGAACTGACTCGCAAGCAGATAGTGAGAGTTTTTGAAATGTAGAACTGGAAAAGAAAGTTTCAAGGGAATGAGCACTACTTCTTCACAACTGGGTGATCCATTTGTGTGTTACGATTTTCGTTGAGTCGGTGATGAGTTTCATGGTTTCTCACGCATTGATAGGTATGCACATATTTGAGAGGAGGGAAGTCTAATTGTTGGCAAGTTCAAATAGTCGGAAGTGAATATTTTATTTTTATGACGGTGATAATTCTCTGCATATACGTCTGTATACGTCTTCCTGGAATGACGGTAATTGAAAGACATCTATAACAATGTGTTCGTGTAGGCAATTCACATGCGAAATATTCAGGTGACTGTCTGAAACCAGAGTGCTTGTGGACAATGAATCAGTCATGCGCAACGGAAGTCTCTGTATAACACTTCCTTAGCTAACATATCATCTGTGATCTAAACGCACTGATCAAAATAGTCAATAGCTCACATTATTTTCTCATAGCATTCCTTAATTTGATATTTTATATTTTATCCGTGATCACACGAGTCTGCAATGTGAGCTTCATCTTTCAGTTTTGAGCACTGCTCCCATACATTTTCATACGTAATATTGTCAGTTAAATTTGTTCAGCCTTACTGTACTTCCAAATTTTCCGTCCAAATCAGGAGGCTATTAAGCGATAACAACCATGTGATTAGTTATTCATTATATATTGAGCTTGCTGATGATTACGAGATACTGACTTTGAGCTTCTTTGTGAAAACAAATATGTACATACATATTATTGACCATTGTCTGCTTCACAAACGATTTCCGTTGTGAATGAATGATCAATGAATCCAGTCGTAATTTGAATATTTTACCATATACTGAGACAGAAATATGGTTGAGAACGATTCTAAAGACACATTAACTCTTTTCTGTCAAACAATGAATTCGTGATTATTATTAAACGTTCGAAACATAAGAGGTCGGATGAGTGCTTCAACATTGATAACACATGTTGTTGATATTGTAAATGCCTGATTGGAACGAAACATTTGTTCATAGAATGAATATTCAAGTGAATTTTATTACAGGTTATTTTCCTAACCTAAGTCACATATCGATGGATGATACACATTCAGGCATCAAAGCTCTTTGCTAAACAGTTTAATTATCTGACCGCATGCCAAAAACTATCTGGCCTATGATTGGACAGACAGCACAGATGTGCGTAAATTGGAATGGACGACAAACAAGACATGAAGAAATCGATCATTTGAGTCTGTTGTATAGCATACGTTCATAGTCAGCCAATCATAGGTAGACAAAGCTTAACACTTATCGATCTCAAAATACTAATGCTATAAATCTAAAACGCTGAAGTTTAAAGTTTACAGTCGAAATGTGTCGTACTATTTTGTTTCACATCATTGTCCTTCTGTTAGAACTAAATGCGTCCATGCAAGATGGTATGTACTTACATATTATTACGTATTTATGAATAATTACAATGTTTTAACAGTGAGGAATAATTCAATAATTCATTGATCTTAAGTGTATTGTGTAATCATTATGAGATTTCATTTTTCACTGAAACTATTTCATTCAGAATGTAGCAAATTAATGTAAACTGGTTATCAAGTAACTGACATTGAAATACAGAATACGTTGTACTAACGTTCTTTATTGACAACAGGAAAAAGAATTGATAGTTTTGTCGAATAAACTGTTCCAATTTTGAAACATTGAAGCATTGAAACAAATGCTCAAAAATTGCATGTTTCCTGGTATTTGTATGTGTCATGTTTGAACAGGTTTTTTTTTCCATTATGACATCGATTGTTACTTTAGACTGTTCTATTTACAATCACAAATTATCTTATGAAAAAAAAAAACGTTGGTGATTTCTTTAGGCATTAGTTTTTTCTCAAAATCAATCTGTCGTCATTTATACATTTCTACCTTAGTGCATGCATTCGATTCGCAAAACAAGTCGCAGAATTAAAAAAAAAAGTGCACATTCAATCAGTGGTTAAATGTTTCCTAATGAGATCCACCAGTCTGATTCCTTTCTAGCAAAACTCATTCATTGTCGATCACTTACTGATTTGTTAAAGTTTATGTGTTGCTTACAAATCAGAAGATAAATAGTGAAATAAACCGATAAAATGCTCAAATTATATAGTCTTTATATAAATTCGATGGCTCAAGTCAAATGAAGACAGAATCATAATTTATTATATCATCAAATATTACATGCTATTGAAATGTGACTGTAAAAGTCATAAGAGTCACTTCGAAAAAAATCTAGGCAGAAGTGAATGTTTGTTTTCTTTCTAATTAGTCCTTAGTTCATGACATACGTAATAATTGGTTTTCTAATTATAAAAAAAAATTGAATTATTTTCAAAGCTATGGATCCATTACCTGATATAAATGTCGAACTATTGAAAACAATTCGGAGTTACCCTTATAATTTACGTAAGTATCATTTAAAAATTATAATTTCAGTTACAGTTAAATAAAAAAAACATGATTTATATTTAAGCAATATTCTATTATAATGTGATTCAATTTTTTTTTTACTTTGTAAACACTTCAAAGATAACAAGTTTTCAAATAATACGCTACAATATAGTGAATCATACTGAGTATTATTGAATGACTTAGAATCAATGATGATGATGATTACCTTATTCATATGCAATCAATTGGATGTAGTATTCTAATAATAAATTTTTGTAATTTCAGTTCATTACAAAATCAGAACACGTATTCATAATCGATTCAATCCCCGTCCGGAGAGAAGTAACCTCTTAATAAAATTGATTCTATCCTTTTTGTTTTAAAATAAGATTTTGCAACATTCAATTATTATTTCAAATATCTTACACAAAAGTATTGTGTTAAATAGTCAAGGTTACTACCAATCACTGTACAGTAGAATGAAAAGAGAATGTTATCGAAACTTGATCAAATTTAATGGTTTTGTTAAGCACATATATATCGTGAATAGGTTTTTCCCGAATTACCAAGAAAATTGTTAACTTATTAAAAAACAATTATTATTGTTCGAATCAATGAGCTTGATTTCATATCCTATTTTGTGATGTATTAGCAGTTTACTAATGATTGAAAGTAATTGATTAGTGTGATTGTTGTCTTTTTTTTCTGAATTTTCAGTGATGCAATTAAAACCTCGAAGCGGTAATTTATTTTTTGATAGATGTGTCTGTTTATACTAAGTTAATGTCATTTTACTGCTTTTATTCAGAGTCCAACTTTTGTATTCAATATTCTCACAACGTACACACAACTTTATTTATTTTCTAGTGGTTCACATGATGTATAAAATGCTCGTCCTTGAACATTATTCCAATATAACTAAAGGTACACTTCAATATAGATTTCTAATATATTTCAAATATCTGTTCATACAAAAATACTTTAAATAGATAATTTTGCTAATAAATTCAATAAAATCAATGAATACAAGTGTTTGTATGTTTACATTATCAGATTACTATGAATGTAATGTAAAATAATTGTTTTTCTGTTGTTTTCTTTAACATGTTTTATTGTAGAAAACGTAAAAAAGCTACATATCACAATGAAAATAAATTCAAATAAACTATCCAACTTTAAAAGTAAATCATTTATTTCTCAAATTTAATTATTCGAAAAAAAAAAGAATGCAAAGTCTAGAACAGATAATTATATGCTTCAATTATGTAGGAACCTGATAAGTAAAGCTGTTTGCGTTATTGACTGTTCAGTAATAATATTCATTATTCATTATTTTTAACTGTTTTTTTTTTTCTAGATTCACTTCCTGAAAACTATCCGAACAAATATGTAAAACTCATTGAATGTATGTTGAAACATGTTATTTATACATAGATATATTTTTTTAATTTAATTCTAGATATCAAATGCGCGACTGACTTTCATATGAATGTTCAAATGAGTAAACTCATGGGAGGTTTGTGAAGTTCTACGATATTTCCTCATATATGTTGATAATTTTTTTTTGACAAAATGCATTACTTATAATATCATTGGTTGTTTCAGAATATCTATAAGTATATGAATGACGAATTTGATTTGTTTTGAAAATTTAAATAAAACTAGTCTCAATATGCGCTATGAATTTCATAGAACCTAGGTTATTATATTAGTCATGAAGATTATAAATCAATTATGTACAAAAACGACGCTATTTTGATATTCGCAATTCTTTGTCTTTGAAGATAACCGGAGTTTTACTTATTTTTAATGATTCATAGATATAGTCCAAACAATACAAATGGAAGAAAACGATTTTGGTACGACATACGGTTACATACAGAGTGTTTACAACTAATCAATAACTTTTTTTAAAAAAAAAAAAACACGAGTTGATTTTCTTATTAAAAACTCAGTTCCTGGAAATTTTTTTTTCTTTCATTGAGAATAGTCGCAACCTCATCTGTCATTAAAATATAGGAACTTCTTCATAAAGCTTTGAAATCTATTATCATGAAAACTGATTTTTTCCTGTTTTTACTTTAAACTAAAGGTGTCAAGCTTGAAAAGTCTACTGCAACCCAAAAATGTTTTAGCGAGAAAAAAAATACTTATGACAGTGAGTTTACCTACTTGCAATGATATTAATCGACCTTATGTCCATTAACGAATTCATAAGTTTCTATTGAGGTATGTATGTATATTTTTTTTTTATATTTAAACAGACATGGCAATCGGGAAACCTATCGAAACTTGTGTTTGGGATTCGAGGGTCAATGAAAACGGTAAAAGAATTGTTTAAATTAGAAAAGAAATAGAGATCATTATATCATTTTAAAAATTAAAAAAAAAAATAATTTTTAAAATTTTGCAAAAGATTCCTTTTTTTTTTAAAACCAAAAACAATTTCTTACACTGTACATTGGTAACTGTGATTTTTATGCTTTCATGATAAAACTGAAGTAAAACAATTGTTATTTGCAACAACATGATGACAAAGGAAAATTACATTTTTTTACACTAAGCTGACTTTATTTGTAAAGAATTATTATTCGCTAAATGATATCTTATTTAACTTCCAGTTAAGAGAAAAATTATTGATGACATTGAAGAGTTTAGTATAAATTCAAGAAAATACAACTATGAATCATGTGAGTACACAGTTTTCCATTGTTTATAGCCTGAATGAAAGCTTATGAGATTCACAGAATACTTCAAATTAATCAATATAATATTTCCAACATTTCAGTTAGCCTTGAATTTTTATCAGATCTTGATAAAATACTTTATACTAAATATATAGAACGTAAGTCAAATAATGTCTTCCAACTTATTCTTAGTTTCTGTATATCTCGTCCGATCCGTTGGAGTACTTAAATATAATTTTCTTAACCACTGTAAACATATTTTTCTGATTTTGATAAAATCATATTGATTTAAGATATAGTTCTATCTAATCTCTTTTTTTTCATGAAAATTTGCAAAACTGTTTCTTCGTAAAAATGATTTTAGTTTTCTATTGTTAATCGATTTTATCAAGCTAAACGAAAAGATAAATTTTTATCAAAGTGTCAATATTCATTTCAACTACTAGTTGAAATACCTTTATACAACCTAATAAATTTATTCTGTTTTTTTTTTAGATTTGAAACAGAATCCTGACATCGCAAACATTGTGAGAAGAACAGTGGCCGGTCAATCACGTAAGTACATCAATTCTCAAATTTTCAGGAATAAATAAAACGGGATTTCATGCAAACTTACAAATTAAAACGATCAGTAGAATACGTTTATCAATTGTACTTCAGAGAATAATAAACAATTTATTAGAACTAATTACTCAGACCACACCATACCTTAAAAACCATAATAATAACGATTACCTAGGTCCCATCAATATTTATTAATACATCTTTTAAGTAAATACATGCTGTTTGGAAATATTTTCTAGTCCACGCAATCACAAATGAATGTATTTGTCTGTTTATAGACTGAAAACAGAACTGTTAGTTTGATTCACAGCAGCATTCTGAGTCAACTAGAATGCATCAGCTTTGTCTGAAACACTGACTCCTATACATGTTGATGAGTAGAGACAATAGAACAAATATGAATTGTCATTATTTTTGAAAGAGAAGTAATCTGAACAGCTTTATAACATTATGGGGGGTTACTGTTCATGAATATTTGCAATTACACAGAAACATTCTCTCTCACCATAAGTTAAATTGTCGTGCATTTCCATTTAAATAAACACTAACGTTTCTTCGCAGAACAAAAGCCAGCATCATTCACCTAATAAGACTAGTTTAAGCAATGAATCACTCATTAGATAATGCGTTGGCAATGCATATCATTCGATTCCATCTAAAATTTGGTAGTTTTGTCATAATCCCATGTTCAGTAGGCTATAAAAAAAATGATGACATAATGAATTGGAATCATCTGTATGCACAAATCGGTCTGATTATTTTCCACCTTTCAGTAAGCTATGATATTTTGTTCAAACTGTATGAGGATGTTGGAAAAATTAAAGGAAAGTAAGTAATGTAAATAATAATAATAATAAATAATAATTTTTTGTTCAGTGAATTGAGAAGGTTCGCGTTGCTTTTGATGAATCAAAAATCGACATAGCTTAATATTCGTGATAAATAAAATTCAGTTATTGTCCGTAAAGTTCTAACATTTATTTTTTCGCTGAAAATGTTACATTTTTTATGCATAGTTTGTGGTTGCTTGAGCTATATATTTATTACAACGAAAGTTTTGAAAAACATCAACATGGAAAGAGAATCTAATATATATATCTGTATGTATGTATGTACGCTTGAAAACACACTTTTTCAATAAACCATATTTCACAGACTATAACTACTTCATTAAACTTAGCCCATAAATTTTGTTTAAGACTAAATATTTTTTAATTTTATTTCATTTACAGCATGATTCAAATCAATCATTGAAATCATCAGGACTGCTTGCTAATCACAATGAACTATTTTGTTGAATGGCCCATCATATTTTTTTTCGCTTATTACTATAATTTAGTTTTGACAGTGATTTAATATTATTGTAAAGCTTCAAGCTAATTGATTACTCTAATAAATTCAAATGATTTCTATTTTTCCTATCATTGTTATTTTTGAAAAATTATTTAATGCATTTTATGGCTTTACTGTGACAAAAAAAAATCGACTCTCAATGATGTATTACTAGATTACACAACTAAATGCACGGTTATTTTGTTATCCTCATACGTTTTGGAGTGTGCAACTTCAAAAACAAAGGTATATTATAAATGAAAATCTACGCTCAAAATAGCAACGTCCAGTTACCATTCATCAGGATTGCTGTTTAGTTTCTGTCAATATTGCTGACTAAATAAATGTCAATAACATTCAACACGATCGGCTAACTGCCAATTATCGAAAGTAAAGCTGCTGAGTGTCCGTATATCCTACGCCTAGATAAAACAATTTTTTCTCTCCGATGAAACAGATTATTTATTGCATGATAAGACCTTTAAATTTAGATTAAAATATACATACACATTTACGCTTCATAATGTGGACAAAATAAAATGTGACCCTGAATCTGAACCCTTCAACAATAGATTAGTATTGATTTTGGAAACAAATATGAACAAAAAATAAACATTATAAACATGTGGTGTGTGCTACTTATACGAACGATATAAGTAGTATAAGTAGGGACGTGAAAGAAGAAGTCTGACGGTCAGAAGAGGAAAACGGAAAGCAAACAGAGCAAAAACAAGAAATAAATAGAGCATCGACAGGAAGTAAAGGAAGCAGCAGCAGGAATGGAAGAAGGCTGGAGCGTTGGAAGTCAGGACTCAAAGATGGTGTGCAAATAGAGTGGTCAATGTGATGTTTTCGTTTTTAATTGAGTACGAGTGTAAATTTGCCAAATACAATCTATCGAGCCTGCCTCAGTCTTCTCAAACATTCTTCAATCGGTTGAATATGATTAATAAAAGAAAAGTGTGATGCAATAAACTATAAAACAATAAAACCTCTAAACCTGCTAGCAGAATTTCGTTTTCATGTGAAAGTTTTAATTTGCGTGACATGAGGATGCATGATTCTACCGAAGGTTTGAAAACTGTGTCAGGCTCGAAGTGATTTACGACCGATTATTGACCTAAGCGCCATGCTTGGCATCGAACAGTGAGAAACATAATTGAAGACAAAAAATCAAGAAACAGATCAAAAGAGGGATACGATCAACAGAAAAGGGTAAATAACCACATTTTATGTTAAATAGCAAGAACCCAATATCGAGGTTATTAGAACGAGCTATAGGTCTAACTTGGAGAAATTCGAATGCTTCACTTCTGTCTGATAAGTACTCTGATGATGATGTTCAGAAGATCAATGAATGCTCTCTAAAAAAACAGTAGGCTCAGACAACGATAATCAGAACACTAATACCACATTATGTGAAGTTGTTTTACTAGAATGGTATCGAACCTGATTACTCAAATTTAGATAACCGATAATGTTACAAACATCCTTATTGATAACCTCTAATGCACTTACTTTTTCCAAACCAAAAAAGACATGTAATCTTATGAGTGATTATTTACTCAGTACTTGATGATTTTTTTAAACGATCGAATATTCGCTTTTTTCACACTTTTAGACAGTTATGCCTGTCTCGTTTACCAGAAATATACCAAATGATTTACAAATTCAAACCCTTGCTTCACAATAGTTCACGAAAAATGATGTTTATAGTTGTTCTGCCTATTTAAGTTCGGGGATTTCGCCAGTAACTATTTCAATAATTACATCTTGCAAGAGTGTTCAATTGCTTCTCCATCATTCATGGTACTCAGTTTAATGATGTCCAATTAAAATGGCTTAAATGCTATTAGCGCATACTAGAATCCTTATTTAAACGAGAACTTTGACTCCTGACAACATTACAACCTCTAGTATAATTAGAAAGTTTGAAACTATCCGTTCTCAGTAACATTCCTATTTTCTCTGAGATATGTATTATTATTGAAAAATGTCAACTGTATTCAATATCACATTGTCGACTAACTTAGTTAGGATAATAACATCAGAGCTGATATTATTAAAGAAGCCTTCATTTGAATTATGGCATAAACATAAAATCTGTGACGATTGTGCAAAAAATTTAAGTTCCTTTAAGCAGCTATATCAAAATTGTTGATAAATAACATTATATAATCGATTAAAACTATTTTTTGCAGTTTCTGATTCATGATGAAAATCACATTTTTCATACAGTGTTGTGTTTCATTCTACTTTTATATTTATATAGAATTTGAGAGCTGGTTAAAATTGCAATTATATTTCTTCCTTAATAGCTAGTCTCTTTCAGCCATTTTAGACGATTAGTTGAGCAGCTTTGCACTTTAAGTGCATGCCATATATTTTTATGCTGACAAAAGTGTTATAAATAAACCAATCACCAATGGAAACGGTGTGCTGTGGTATATCATCCAATCAATATTACTAGCAACTATTATTAATAGCTCAAAGTGAAAAGACTGACTTCAGATAACATGCGTCACATCAATTTCTACTTTATCCTGCTACATCTCTTTCTGCTTCATCAGTTTTCAGAAAATAGTAAGTCCCATAATTGTATAACGTTTATTACTAAACTATAACTATCATGATGATATTCATTATTGTATCAGATTATCAAAGCATTTTTAAGTGACTTGTATCACTCGTAGTATAATTCATGTTCATTTTATCTCTAGAAAACAGCATAGAAAACAGCGAATTCCATGATGTACTATCGGCTAAAGGTAAACTCAATATCAATGAATATACAGTAAAAAACGTTTGGAAAAGATTAGATTACCGTTGTAGCAAAATTGATTAATCCATTTATTGAGAAATCGCGAAAAAACATCCTTAACCAATATAATTGTTTTATATCACACGAAACTGAGATAATTATCATCGGTCAGACAGATTTCGATTTAATGAATGCCATCGACTTAAAGATTGAGAATTTCACATTATTCATTTAAAAGATAACTAGGATAAAAATCTCTATAACTAGAGTTCTGTCAACTTTATTGTGGTATAGTGATTAGATATGTTTTGTGAATTGCTTTTAACTGTTATCAAAAAATAGACATGAGACGCATGATACGAGATTCAACTGCAGTAATTATATTAATCGCAAATAAGAGAATAAAACGGACACTGTTTCCTGAATGACTGACTTAACGATGACGTCCGCAAAACTGATAGTTATAAAGGCTATTCATGATCATTCATCATTTGCCATTCGATATCTTAAATATTCAATTCAAAAATAGAACATGTATATATAATGAAGACTATTCTGATATCAGACGATCAAAATCAATAAACATACCATATTTTTTAAACGCAATTCTAGATATAATTGAAAATTTACTTAAAGAATCCAAAAGTATGTTTTTATTAAATATAAATTGGTATAGAAAGCACACCATTCATTCAAATTTTGATACCATTACGTAGTTGCGAAAATGGTATTTAAAACCATCATATAATTCAATTTTTTTCAACACAAATATAATTACATGCAATCACTAATACATGATGTAAAATAACCTGACATCAATGTAATCTACAAGTACAACTTCACTCATTTTAAAACAGTTGATTCACTGTGACAAATGAAAGCACCTGTTTATCATGCTTTTAATATATGATAGAAAGACACCTATAGACGAAATAATAGGAACAGTAATTTTTGTCGGCACTTTCCATTTGTGTTATAAACAATGCCAATTTCTATGTTGATTACTTTTGCTTACAGAAGGCATAAAACCAACAAAACAAAAACTCATATCTACTCTTAGAGAAGTTGATCGGCAACAAAGTAATTATCTGAATGAACAGTTCATTTTATTTTACAATGGTTGATGAAAAGACACTGTGCAGAATGTGCTTTTGCTGAATGACAGTTTCTAGTGGCAGGTTTGTGTTCAGGAAAATGGTCAGATATTTTGCATTTTTGATGTCTTGGGAACCATACCTGACACAGTTTTATCAGATAAACATGTAAACACAAGTGAACTTACATGATCGACAGCTGCACGGTGCGATGGAACTGCTCAGTTGAGGACTGTGATCACCGAAAACTGTGACACTATTCAAACGATGACGTATGAGTTCCTTTGAAAAGATTTGCCGACTATTCATTGTTCTGATATGATCAGTACCTACTTATTTAAAATTCTTTCGTTTAAGCTAGAATTCTGTATTCATTTTCGTGCATTATTTGTAGATGCGTTCAATTCAAATCCTCCACTTCGTGAAAAAAATAATCGGAATTGTATGCAATAATAAAATCATATTTTATTGTACTGATTTATAACAATTATTTTAGATATAAAATGCCTTGACAACGACTTAAAAATCAGACATCAAATAAAGCTGACTACAGGTTTGTCAAGATTCTTTCTTGAGTTCTCTATTTACGAAGTTCAGATGATTATTATATTTCGGGACGATCATCTAAATTTTATTCAATTAGAACTTTGAAAGAACTTGCCTGTTTTTCATACTCCAGTGTTAACCCTGACAATATTGTCGTACAATTCGGCTTTATTAATTAAAAGATATTAACAATACTGTTTGGAAGTGTTCCCATTCAATATCTGGTATTAGGTACGTCGTTACAGGGGAAATCACCATAATTTCAGATTTTATCATCATATAGACTAAACTACTATTTATGTGCTATCTGTCGTTTTCATCGCTCGCCTACAAAATAAGATCTGTGATAGCCTGGATATCCTTATCGTTTATGTTATCGAACTGAAAGGATTTTCTGTTGTTTGCGCTTCTTGGTCGAATCATCCAGACTTCGAAGGGCTTACGAAGTGGCTATCGTAATTCATTATAACTTTTCAATTCCTGATATTTGCTCTTAGTTTACATAAGATCTCTATACTGATCGTTTTTAGTAATTTTGGAAGAAATCAATTCTGTTCAACAAGTCCATGGTATGCGTTCACGTTAAAATAAGGCGTGGCTTTTTCTTGTTTCTCAATGCTTATTTTATAGCTGTATTTATTTGCTTTATCAACACTGATACAATTTTAATAAAGTGCTTCCTACCTACATATAATGAGCGTTCACAATACTATAGACTTCAGGCTAAACCATAAAGACCATTTCAATTTCAGCTCATTCATTAAACGAGTGTACTAATACTGCTTATTTCCTCTGGATATATTTACTGAAAATGCAAATTTTGTGATCAACAATTTGTAGGGATTGATCTAGCCAACAGTTTAAAACTTAGAGAATGTTACGATAATCAACTGTCAAAGTATAAACAAAGTAAGATCTACTTTCATCTGCTGTTCCTTGAACTTGGATTTTTTTATTTCACGACGGTTTTCCATGGTTTAGTGGGTAGGATTTCACTCTGTAATTAAGTGGTTACATTTCACTGATTACATTCACTGATTCCATTGAATAAAATACTAAGAATGAAGCATAGCCTCAAATTCTATGTCTAAACTACAATCCTTTATCAATGGCCAACCTTAGACTGAATTACGTTATCACTCTACTAGGTTGCGCACATTGAAAATTCTTGAAGAAAGCTGACTGTGCTGAGGTTCACGTAAACAAGCATACAGAAATATGAATTTCACTATTTTAAATTGTTTAATGGAATCAACTGCTCCTTTATAAATGAAATTTAGTAAATTCGACGAACAATTTTATCAGATTTCAGGTGATTTTATATCTAATTTTGAGGACTGCAACTCTGCTGTCAAATTGTCAAAAGACTGAACAATTGTGTTAATCAATTTGATATCGCCTGAACGATGTTCCTAAGTGTATAAAATCATTTTATGTTTTCCCCGAATTTTCTCATTCTCAATTAGAAAAAGTTATCGGGATAAGCGAGACGATGTGTCGACAACTGACGACATATTCTGAAGAAGGTTAGTTGATATCAGTGCTTCTAATGAGCATGTGTACTTACTCCAGTGGTACTATTAGAACAAACCACAGTCAGAAAATTCATTTAACTTTTATGAAATACTCACAGTTTACATACTCAGCTGTTTTATTTTCGGTTGAAATAAGATGCAAACACCAAAAGTGTAAACTATTCGTTCGAATATCTGAGACATGATTGGTCGCGTGCATTGTAAACGGGTGATGTCTTCAAATAGAATTGTAATTCTCCGTTCTTAACCAAATTTTAAAATTTTTGTCTTTAGAAATTAAGCATATACGAAATGTGACATATCAAAAAAATTACCGGATATTTACATTAAATGATGCATCTTGTGAGTAAAATTCTTTATAAATTGCAATTTTTCTTGTTGTTAAAGTAAGTTTCAGAATTAAGTGATGAGCGGATGGACGCGACTCACGGTGTTTACAACATGCGATATTATGATTGTTAAAAGGAAGTTCATGCATTTGAATACATAATAAATTGTATCGTTTTACTGCCATTTCAGTTCAATATCAATTCCTACGGCAGATCAGATTTGAAATGAATCAAAACAAATTGAAATGTAATTATCAATTTAAGATGATTGATTTTTGTTAAGTTTGCTTTTAATGTGTTTATCTTATCTAATTAGCTGCAGTTCAAAAGTACATAATGTAATAATTTCCATTTGTTTCGAGCGCTTGAACATTAGATTCGTGATATCACTGTCATGTTCGATTTTGTGAACCTTAATATTGAAAGGCTGAGGTGGTTTTGCTGAGGGCTTCATGTTTTGATATGACATTTCTGGGGATTATTTGTATACATAACAACGCGTTCATTTTTACTCATTTTTATATCAGTGAAAACTTTTAATGTGAAATAATAAAAATTATTCTTTCGGTAATTCGGTTAGATATTCACATGACCAGCAAGGCATTTTCTTCTTGTTTTTAATTATCGTTATTTATTCGGTCAACAGTAATTCATATTATTGAACATATGCTCGCATGATATCACTTAAGCCTGTATAAAAAATTCCATTTCAGCCGATTCGAAAATCTCTAATGCTGATATTTTATATAAAGAAGCAAAAAGTACGTTACAAATTATAATAACGCCTACAAGATGTAGTCTGAATTTTCTTTAGTGAACACGCTAGGTGATCAGATAATTTAAGGTGATGAAGGTTATAATTTGTTTGTGGAACCTGACGAAATTGGATTATGCGTGCAACGATTGGAGTTTATCATTACTTCCAGCCCAAGGAATAAATACCTGCCAATACGCATCTTCACATTTAGCTGGTCATTATTCTTAGTTGAGTAATACCGGTCAACGTTCCACGACAAAAGTAATGCAGTCAAAAACTAGTTGTAACCTGAGGTGTGTGTTGCGTGAATTATAGAAAGATTCTTTGGTTCTTGGTTCTTCTAATAAATAGAACAATGAAAAATTGAGATTTCTTTGTTAGCGTGACACAAGTATATGGTAAAAATGGAGTGTCAGCTAATCACCCTAAATGCAATGAAAATGATATCGACTTTTACGTCTTTCAATACTGCTTTTAGATAACTTGAAAGAAGAAATAAACAAAGCGAAAAACGCTATACTCAATTTTCAGAATTTAAAAAGTAATTTTACAAAACAATTGTAAACTTTTTCACGGAAAAATTCGTAAACATAAATTTGTTCATGTTCATGTATTTATTGAAAGTCTGTGCTGAGGCCTGCTTTCGAACACATTAGTTGTCATATATTCTTTGAGTAGTGCTTTACACATATTTCGATGTTTATCGTCATGTGTACAAACTCGCACAAATGAAAAACGCTACATATAACACCGTATAAGTAGCCTACTTATCACTGAAGGAATGAGATAACTGCGATCTTAGACGACTTCCCACCTTTATGAACTATTGACATGCTGCAATAATAATTTCCATTCTGAAATGTATTATTTTTGTTTAGTCGCTGACAATAAATTTCAGGCACTTTATTTTTAAAAAAAAAACTGTTTGCTTATTTTTATGTATTACATTCTAGGTGATTTAAGAAAAAAAGGTTCCGGTTATCTAGCAGAAATTAAAAATTGTATGCGAAAAACCAATGATAACTTATTGCTAAAATTGGATTATATCTTTTAGATGTGGAATGTGTGAGCGACTTCTCTGAAAAACAATATGGAGCTCAGCTGATGAATGGTTCGACTAATGATTGTTCCTTCCTATTCTTTATTTTGATGTTTCTGATTCAGTACATAAATTATGAAATTTTTGAACATTGCTTTCTGTTCATAATTTAAAGTTTCGTCAATAGGGAGATTAATTCGCAAAGTCTGAGTTGCATCAAAAAAATTGAATTTTGAATTTAACTTTCTTCAATGTGTTCCGATTTATTACGTTTTATTCAGGATTATATGCCATATCTGCTAAGACAAATGTTATGATTTGAGATTCTTTCGTTAAGGCGTTTATAAGCTTTTAACTGTCTTCATTCTAATCGTTTTAGGAATTTTATCGGGGATAAATGAATTTGAAAATTACTCTGGTATGTCTTCTCTGAACAGTGTATTGTATTGCTGAATTTAAAATTATTATTACCTTCTGCTTTGTTTATTCATCTAATCAGCATTCATAGATTGATCTAAAGAAGCTTTTCACATACAGTTTTCCCTAATTTGCGTTATCATGCAACTTCTCTCTGTAGAACGCTTAATAATTAGTCCAACTTCATATGTTCATTTATCTGCAAATTGTTTGACAGGAATTATTCTTCGTAACAGTTTCAAATTAAAAGATTGTTACAGAAAACAACTGTTGACCTATGAAAAAGGTAAATTGATTTTACTTTATCGTTGCTTAACAATTAATACTTCACATCATGTCCGATTCTGTTTATTCACCACTGAACGTTTAGCACTCCTTGTAGATTTTTTTTTGTCACAAAGAATTATAAATATAACGGACAGTTTACCTATCGATTGGATTAACTTAAATTTACGTTAACTTCAAATTCTTTGCCAAAATCTAAACTCCTTATGTTTGTGTAACTGCAGTCTGAATAAATTGAAGTGCATATCGAAGCAGAACTTCATTCTACCGTTTTCTTTGGTAGTTGGATTTTTTTTCTTTGTCAACCTGAATGCCACACTTGCATGTAATGAATTCGGATTTGTGTGTTCTTTTAAAATTCCACCACAGTAAACTTATGAATTAAAATGTGCTCGCAATTTTGTGAACATGATGACGGAAAATCAGAGAAAATTGATAATAGTTTCAGTACTGCCCGTAACAGGTTCTCTACAAACATGAACTTAATTTATTAATTTTAATTGCATTTACTCGTTATCAATTAGATAAGAACGATGAGGAGTGCCTCAAACTTACTTCATACACTAAAGAAAGTAAGTTCAGATAAATCATACTTCCAATGAGAATGTGATAGTCTTTCACTAGTTCCACAAGACGAATCAAAGCTTGTTAATGGCGTTGCAATCTATTAAACAAATTTCAGTTTAAAAGACCAAACTATCAAACGTACTGCTGAAAAATAGCATATGACGTAAATATTTGAATTTAATTATTCAGAATGTCTAAATTCTGCTAATAATAAGATTGAGTTTAGTTCACTAATCTTTGTACTCATTATGGAAGTTGTAAATGGTGTGCAAGAACTACGAAGATTCAGATAACTCATGTATTAATAATAATATTCGCTTTCACCGTTAAGAGTAAAGTTTTCTTTCCATAGGACTTACCTTGTTACGAAATACGGTAAATGAAAAGTATTACAAGATATTTATATACAATGATGCATTGTGTGAGTTCAACTTATCAACAGTAAATAATTATTTCATGTTGTTCTTTGGGTGAAAGAATTCATTCGCCATAAAATATAAAGGTATAAATGGTTTACAACAAGCGAAAATATAGGCTTCAAGTGCAAGTTGATGTAATCCATCGACGTTTAAACATGTTTAGCACAAAAAATCACTCATGCGATAGTACACAATATTTCAATTTATGATTGATTACTTTCTATTTCAGTTCAATATGACTTCCTGAAGATGATTAGTGATAAAACCAGAGGATACATATCGAAAGGTGATTAACAAATAAAAATTATTTGATGCTTAAAGTTTATTAGTCCATGGATTTATCATGCTGTGAGTACAATCTGTTTATCAGAAAATCGTTACTCACTTGTATGTAATATTTCAGTAAACTTCTTAATGAAATCTTGAGTATTGATGTACTTGTTTTTCATTTCATTTTTTGATATATATTTGAGAATTCTTAATATTTCCCCCTACCTTCCTGATTTTCTTAGATCTATATAAAAACTAGGTTTTGACTAAGGCGTTTTTTTGCTTTTTATTTTGAAAAATAATTGTTTATGTTAGATTTAAAACAAATATTCTTCTTTATTTATCTAAATGCAAAATTCAATTTTTCCATGTTTGTTTCAGTCAAAAGCCTGATTCAGTCAAAGAAACGTATAAGAAATGATTTAGCACAAAGAAAAAGTACTTGCTATTATTAAATATCGAACATTCCACTTACTCGATTTATTGAAACTTTTTTTCAATGTATTTTTGATGTATGTCAGTAAGTTCAATGAACTAAACGCAACTTACAATATGAATCAAGCCAATCATTATGAATGATGCAGTAAATTTGTTGCTCAGGTGTACGTTTGTGCTTGTGTTTTGTTCACTGAACTGGTTATTGTTCTTCTGAACAACATAATCAGCACAAACTTTCTATGGAAGTGAAGCATTCGCAATTCTCCACGTTTGACCTGTAGCTTGTTTTGCTTACCTCGATCTTGATTGGTTGCTGTTGACCTTGGACCTGTCGTTGTTTCCACCATTGTTTTGATTGAATCCCACATTTGATCTGTTTCTTGATCCTATATCAACTATAATTATCCTGATTCTTTGATAAATTGAGTCGATGTCGATGTGTTTGTTGATTGCCGATTGACCTGAAAGTCAAGCCTCCGAATGTTTTTGGGTAATCCTTGTCCTCCGCCTATCCAGTATTCCAGCAGTGTCCCAATGGACTGTACGTCCATAACTGTAAGTTATATTGATAAAAATGAAACCTGATCATGGCTTTTGACTGCTAATTGTTGTTCAAGTTAACGAAGGTAAAGAGGCCGTCTACATTGTCCCGTTCAGTGTTTTTCACATTCTGAGCAACTTATTTTGAATATATTATTTAGTTTTTCGTCCTTTGTCATATGGTTCTTTGGTCTTAATAGGATTGATTCAAATAAATCCGTAGGATTGTGTGCCACACCTATTCCAAATAATTTCAGCAGTCTTGCATCACGTTCCCAAATGTCTTTTATATATGGCAAGGTGATCTGTTGATTGATTCATTTAGTTGATTTCGCCCCTGTTGACGATTAAGGCTAATGTTTTTCGATGAAGTTGCTTGGATAGCCGTTCTTCAGGTAGATAGTCAGAAGATGTTTTTTCCTCGTTTTTTAGTGCTTCATATATGCTGCAGTCCGTCTAAGCTTTTTTGGTTGAAGTTATTGTGCAACTGATTTTGTGGATTCTTCGATTGTGGCTACAGAAGTTGACATTTACGTCTGTGTGGTTTGGATTCTGTAAAACCTGAGTTTCTAGTTTTTCTGTTAGATCTGTTGAGCAGTATATCCAGTAATGATTGACCGCTGTTTGATTCCTTTTTCATGGTGGATTGTATGTCATCTAATACGTTATTAATCCGATTGTAAATGTTCTCTACCTCCTTCCTTTTGTATTGTATACTTTGTGATATTATTCATCCAACCTATTTGAACGTTTTTCCTTCAACTTTTTTTCTGACTAATGATAAGTTTGAATGTATGTAACATGTGTTGATTAAGTTAACTTTACAAATGACGAAATCATTTTCTAATTTCAATTGTAACTTTCTCTGTTCCCCCTTCTACTACTCCTAATTTGTAGAACAGATACTCAATATTTCAGAAATTATTTTGAAACAAAAAGATCAATTAGTCAAACTATCAGGTGCATAACTTTCAAAATATTGATTGATTTTTTGTAACTGAATTTATTTGCCTTTTTTAATAACATTATAAGCATTACGGAGGTTTCAGATGTTGCTCAGGGAAATTTTATTCACTGGAAAAGATGCTCTACTTGAAACCCAACCGATATAAGTTAAAAGATTTAAAAACAATACAATGTAACGAAAAGGTATAATTATCACGATTGAATTGTATGTTTCAGTCATTACCATATAATCGAAATAAACACCTGAAGACACAATTCAATTACTAAATTTATTTTTGAATACGATCGCTATTATCATCGTGATCGACATCTTTTCCAGGTTCGATGAAAACAAAAAATTCAGTTGGGGATCGTGCGATTGATGAATGTATGTGAAATTTTTAAACTAGCACAGTAAATCTAACTCACGATTCTAGATAGATTATGCAGCGAGAAACTCATCAAATCTAATGAACAACGAACATTTCTGCAAGGTTTGGAATGTTTTGGTGTTAGTCTGTTTGTTTCAAATGATATAGTTGGTGTTAATTTATAATATCGCATGCTAGATATTTTTGAAATATTCAAAACTGCACTCACTGACACACATTATGTATTTTTGTTAAGCAATAACATAATGAGATAACCTGATGAAAGTTTACATAGATCATTGTGTTTTATTATTAGGATTTCAATTCTTTTAATAAACGAACATAGTAATCATTGGTTGTAGCTCAGCTTATTGAAAGTCAGTTTCAATTTAAGAATGAAAGCTAATTCACCTCTTGCACTATCCTCAGATCTGATGAAGTCTCTTGATACTCATACGAAAATTAACGGTATGTCTATTTCCAAATGTATTTGCAAATGAATTTTTTTATAGGTAAACTTGTCGTTTATGTCAGACAGCATGTATAGAGGCACACATTTTACTCAAAAATGAAATGTTTTTTTCGATTTCATCATAATTATTTTGTGAGAATAGTCATCTGTCAGTCAGGTTGATGAATTTTGTATACACCTTTTTCTCCAATTACGAACGTTTCGTAACATATGTTGGAGAACACAGAGTCACTTTTAAGTTTGCCCATATTATTCATAATAGTGAATAGAGACTTTAATTATTATTATTTTTATATTGCAGTACGAAGTGGCTATTCTTCATTAGCATTGGAGTCATGCATCAATCGAAAAATTTCGATCTCTGCTAGTGAGTGTATGCATTTGTTATTGTTTAATTTCAGTGAGTTGTTCAGTGAGCATCACCTCTACGATTATGGTACAACTAGCTTACCATTTGAAAACAGGATAAATATAAATCTTACATTTCTCAACTGGCAACCATCCATGACAACTGATCATGAAATTTACAGTAAACCAGAAACTAGTGGTGCACATTTTCCCAGTCATCAATGATAGGATTCTTAAGAACAATCCGGAATGATTAAAACGGATATTGTTACCGTCCAGAAAACTGGTTGGTAATGTGAAAACTGTTCATGCTATTGTCCGAATCAATGACACAACCTTGATAGTTTCCATATTTTTTGCATGCATTAAAACTCCAATATTGTTTTTCACAGGTTCAAAAGCCAATACGATGGAAGAAACTTGTCATAAAAACTTCCCATACACTGAAACAGGTAAAATGAAATGAAACATGCGATTAACCTACAAACATCTGCTTTATAGATATCAAGTCACTAGATAACGCCATCACCATGCTGCACGTCAAAATAAAAGAATTTAACTTCGCGTTATGTAAGTACATCACTTACCATTACCTCGACAGTACATAATTACCTCCGGATATCATGTCTTCTCATAGTAAATACTAAGATGAATTTTATCATTTATTGCCCAAAATAATGATTCTATTTGTTTAAAATCTAAAATTTCAGATACGCAGAGGATTCAGTTGAATATTCTTGCAGAAATCGAGAGTGAATTATATGGTTGTAAGATTCATAGATTCACTTATCTGTCTATATTTTTAGCATCATTTGTCACTAATTTACTTAACATGTTGAACGACTGACCTGCACTACTAAACACCTGCATCAACTTAATGCTAAGCTGTTTCGAATTCAAAGAATGCAGTGTGTTTATTCGACAAAATATCACCAAACATAATTTATTATCTCTCTCGACCGAACAAACCAGAGAAACATCTTCATCTGTATAGAAATATGTTCGTACTATTATAGTGTAAGGTGTGATGTTATTGAGTTTTTCTGTTTTAATAACATTTGTTAAATCATTGAACGACTCTGAAATCATATGAATATTTGTTGCTTGATTTGTAGTATCCATTTCAAAGTGATGAAGATCTTCTCCAGTAACATTTGCTAGACTGAGGTACATAAGTGAATTGCGGATCTTTCATAACTTTTTTATTGTTTCGAAGAATTGAGGACATTTTTTACCATTTCTTAAATAAAACTGAGATTATAAATATGATTTTTTGATTTTCTTCGGAATGTGACTGGATGAGATATTTGCATTATCCCTGAACTACGGATGGGAGCTGAAATTAACATAATGAAATTTGTGCCTCGATGATATTTTTTTATTGTTCAGTAGAGATACATAATATGCATAATATAAGAATTTATCCTTCATTACGTTAGAAAAACAGTTTTAAAACTAATGCGTCCGAAACCCGTTACTTTAGTAAAGCACTGTAATGATGATGAGTGACAATTTTTTCTTGTTTGGTCATCAAAACACAAATTAAAACACCGGTGACTGACACTTTATGAAAATAAAAATATAAAGAAGGAACTTTCTGGATGTGACGCGACTCTGTGAAAATAACGGAACCGTTTCAGCGCGTTCAAATAATTCAGTGATATCGACAAAAAGCAAATTCTGCGTTTAAGTATATTATCTTGAAGTGAACATAAATTACGCATTTAGTTGATCTAATTTTCAAGGACGCTGACTCATGAGACATGAAGTTTATGTTGACGTTGACGATGGAACTTATGTCAGTATTGATGACGATTATTTCTATATTTTCCGCTTTGCAACAAACATTTATGAGGTTGCAAGAAATTCGCTCGAATACCTCTAGATTATTCAGTTATTGGTAAACCTTGACTGCTAGATCTCTAGAATGACTTGTGATGTTTTCGAGAAGCTACTGAGCACTATTATATTCTATCCAGACCACAGTGTAGATTCTTACTTCTACTGAAACATTTTCAGACTGTGAACATTGAAGTGTGTGAACAGGTTAGCGTGCGAACATTTGATTTCGTGGAGGATCCAGTCACGTGCTTGTACCAGTTTTTAATTCCAGTAAAGGAACAAATATATATATATATATATATATATATATATATATATATATATATGCTTTTGCCTTCTAGCTTGCAGTTATCCAGTAGCGTAACTGTACCTTTGAACACTGTGAGTCAGGTTTGCTAGCCATTTACACTTCTAACATAACGAGCGAAAGGAATCCGATCCCTTTTTTGAGGCGTTAGTACTTTGCCGTGGAAACAGACATTCAAGCTTATGATTATTGTGATGAACATTCAAAAGTCTCTTGTAATTGTCAGTGCAAAATGTTGTACAGTTTCAAATTTGATTCCGCTTATTATTAAGACCTTTAACTGACAAACGCATGCTTTTTCAAATATAACTAAAATCCTTTGATAGTTCAAAAGAAATGTAACATGGTGAAAAGATGAAAGAAGACTAGACTATATAGGGGAATAATTTATTAGCTAGGTGATGTAAACAAACTAAAAGTCTCGTTATTGAATTTCGTATTCACTGAGAAGTCGGTTTTTTAAATATGATTAGTAGTATAGACTTAACTTGCTTTATACCACATGGAATTTTGTAATTCTATGGTATGAAACTTCAGATGAAGAAGAATTATGTTGTTGATATATATATATAAAGAATACAAAGAGGAATATGAAAAAAATATGAAATAAACCATTTGTCATTCGATGAGAACTCGAATAATAATCGAATAAAAATCAAAAAAAAAATAACAAACATCCAAAAAGGATGATGAGTCGCTATTTAACAATTTGAGAATAAATAAAAACATGAACAAAAATTAAAAAAAAAGGAAATTACGATCTTTGTAAATAAACTCGCGCATATAACTTAAAAATGACAATATATAAGCAAATAAAAATACACAGCTCACCATTGAATAGAGATGGAAAACAAATATTTCGGTAGTCATTATTTACAAAATATAAATCAGATGAAAAAGTATTCGACAGATTAGTTGAGAACTGTAAAATATATTATAAGAATCATTACTGAAAAAAAACGAGCATTGCCAAAGGAAAACACGTTGACAACTAAATGAAAAGAAATGAATTTGAAGCGATGACAAAATAGAATATCTGATAATAGAACAAAAAATTGAGATGACATAACCACACCAAAATCTGATGATCTCCAATTCATCAAAAATATGTAAAAAATCTCATAAGGAAGAATTGGCTTCTTGTTAAAAACTGGAAGATATAGTTCTGCGAACACTGAAAATAAACGCTCAAGAATATTTAAGGCAAACCTGTTCCGTTGACATTATTATTATTCTACTCAAATAAAAATTAATATGTGGCTGAGCGAATCTCATTTTATGAATTCGATGAAATGACCATGTTTGATAACTCGAATATTGCATTTCACGTTTCTCAATTATTGAACAGCTTCCATTTGAAACTATCAACGCTTTTCGCTCATTCATATGACTTGTTCAAGAATATGTTACCGATATCTGATCAAATGTACCGAAGCGCTTCACAAAGCATGTATTTCGCCTTATTCCTCCTGAAAATATCACAGTCACATATGGGCAAAATCAATTGATAGTGAATGTGTGAACGATCAGATTGTATATGATATTCAAGACACCACTTGTACGTTTCAATGATTGAATGCAAACTGGATCCGATGATTGCCACGCAATCCGGCATTCACATATCTGAATAACTTCCTATCACCTGCCGAATATTTCAAAGCACAAAATACCATACAATCATATTGATAATGTAGAATGAGTTGTGAATAAACATTTGTTCAGCAATTCTCTATCAACATGATCACTGCAGTGCATTATTTCGTGCGATTTCCGACAACACCATCACTTGCACAATCATTCACTCAAACCGGAACACAAACAACAAAACATTTCAACAATCTTCTAATTGACGTCTACAATGACTGCATTGATTTCCTATCTTATTCACATGACCCATCGAAGAATATGTCAACTTACTACACGCAATGCGAATCTCCAATTCTGGCGACTTTGTTGAATTCATATGCTTTAACCAGGGATGATGTTGATAAATCTTCTTCTTGCCATGTTCTCACATATTTTCCTTTTTCTCATATTTGATATCGATCCTGTTGGTACATTTAGTCAGATTACTATCATGATGTCACACAAATGGTTTTAATAATCATTTTTCACACTAATTGTTTATTTTTACTTAAGTCACCTTTTACGCTCTGAGCTATTACGCTTTCACATCATTCGATGTATAAGATTGAGACAGTTATCTGCGTCCAGTAGGCTATCTTTAATACGAAACTACAACCTAGATGTCTTGATACGTGAAGAATCTATATTCTACAACAATCACTAATCACAATGCAATCAGGCACACAACTCTGGTTTATTCATACATCATATAAACGTACATTAGACAGTACGGACAACAGCACACAAAAATACACAGCAGCCAATCGCAGTCTTGTAATTTCCTGATGGGAAACGAAATATCAATATCAATCGATCAGCGCATGATCTCAAACGTGAAACAAATGATAAGGCATTTATCAGCCGAGTTCTGGAGATCTAACACCCCTAACTGAAACATCCTGAGTAGTGTGTTGTGTTTCGACAGAACACAAATGAAAACAATTTCATATGTTTTTGATATCTTTAGTTAGGATTTTCATTTTGGTAAACTTTTCTTATTCTCACCTAATAAAAGTTCATTCTGTGAAACTCAAGGTAGAAAAAAATTGTTATAAATCTGAGATAATTTAATGATAATATTCTAATCTCACGAAGCAATATATGTCTGTAGAATTGATCAAAGCGAAAATTTTTCTTACTTTTATCTGAAGAAGGTAAATTGTAATTTCAATAATGAATTGCACTTATCTCTGTTACACTGTTTCTCTTTATGAATTGATTTTATTGTCATACGAATGTTTTCTTTTTTTGCAGTAAGAAATCTGATTAAAGGAAAAAGATTATCTAAAGCTAATGAACAATATATGAAACACAATTTCGACAAAACGTAGCTATATTAGCTGATATTATGACAGATACTATTTGTGTATTGTCAGATGTCAAAACGCCGTCAATGTTAGTCTGAAGAAAGTATTCATGTGCAAAATGAATAAAAAGCAAGGACTGTTTTATTATGAAATCTTGAGGACTGTGCAAACAAGTGTTCAGCATCGCAATCAATGAGCATTACCAAAAACTGAGGCTCATGCGAACATTCAAACTGATTACAAATTACAGTTTGTGCAAACTATATATTTCAAATAACGAACGATAAAATTGGATATTCAACTATACGGGATCTTTTAGCAAAAGAAATTAAAGTGAATTGGAGAAACAGATTATTTCTTCATTTGAATATAAGGTAATGAAGCCTTTTTTCTTGAGTTTGCTTATCCGCCTAGTCATTGTGTGCAACTCAAAATAAGGAAATTAAGGCTGCGTACGTAATGTGAGTACAGTCGAAAAGGGTCGCTAGATAGTTATTATTTTGTACTTGAAGCATTCTGTTTCACTGTGAATTATATTTATTGGCATATAAATTTACATGAAATATAATATTGTCATTAATTGTGATCAGTCGTGAAGTGTTTGACTGTGCGTGTTCACTGAATAAGTATCAATATGTTATGTAAATAATGGACAGTAACGTTTCGGATTACTGTGAATGGGAAACTTTCTGAATTTGAATTTCTACACATTAGTTGAAATAGGAAATATTGTGACAGCAGAAAATGTGCAGCTGTAGTAATCAAGGCAGGATATAGAAGATTATTTTAGTTGGTTAAGGAAAATAGTGGCATGTTAAAATGTTGTGTAAAGCCTCTGTGCAAAGACCAGTGTCGTTACATTGAAATCGCTGTGTTTTATGGAACACCGTTTACTGTTACAATTGTGCCGAAGGAGAATATTTAACTTCGTTTAGAAAAACAGTGTTATGTTTATAAATTATGTAGGGCTGGTTATCCAAGACGTACCATAAATGGAACACATAGAACTCAGTTCAAGTTCGTCAGTGTTAAGTGCATCCGAAATTTGGA